ATTTTCTTGAGTGAAAATGTAGACTGTTAGGTGACCTGTGGACAATAGCTAGAAGGAAAGGGCCCGCCTATTGATTCCATCAAGAGCTCAGCCACCTAAACAACTTATTTCTCCCTTATCATCAGACTGGGAGATAACTTCCACCAGTTCTTCCCAGAAGTGCTAGAATTGCTGCTGTTTCTCCTTAAATCAGTCCTTACTGACTTCTCTCTCTTGGCTAATCCTGCTGGGCAGTTAAAGATTACAAAACAGTGCATTAAACATTAGGTAAACCAAAGACATTAAAAAAAAAAAAAAACTTGTTCCTCTATTACTCTCCCTCCCTAAAAATATTGGGTTCCCTTTAGTTTAGAACGTAGCATATAATTGCATTGTTTTTATATCATTGAAAACTACTAACTTTATTTAGAATTAAACTTGTGACAGCAGTAGGGATAGGCGTGTGACCCCTGCTGTGTGGGCTTCCCTCTGCTGGCATAACCACAAAGGGAAAATAACGTAGAGCAAGAAGACAGGATTCCCTCCCCCTTCCACCCTTGTCTGAAGGGAGCCATTAAAAACAGAATTATTCTTTCCTTCCAAGACAATGAAGTGGAGCAGGAAGATCTTTCACAGTCCTTGAGCCTGGTAAAGGATGTGATTGGAGCTGTGGACAGCAAAGTGGCAAGTTATGAAAAGAAAGTGCGTCTCAATGAGATTTATACAAAGACAGATAGCAAGTCGATCATGAGGATGAAGAGTGGTCAGATGTTTGCCAAGGAAGATTTGAAACGGAAGAAGCTTGTGCGAGACGGGAGTGTGTTTCTGAAGAGCGCAGCGGGAAGGTTGAAAGGTAAGGCTCGGCTCGCTTTTGCCTGAGTCCAAGTGCCTGCACAAGGACAACAGGCAAAATCCAAGTGCTTTTCTTGGAAATTCATCACCAGATTTTTTCCTAGAGAGTCCCATATTCAAACATCTTTTAACCAGAGCAGCAATAATTTAATTGTTCTTAATCTTATATCAAAAAGGACTGGTTTGAAATAGTTTACAAAATGATATGAAACACAGTAAGATGACAAGGAAGTGATGTAGTCAAGGAAAATGGAAAGTTAAGACTTTAGAAAACAAAGCAAAGGATAAGAGTAGTACAGATGTGCAAGCTGTTGAGGAAGGCCTATCCCCTGTAAGAGATGGGCAGCCAATTTGGGATGGTGGTCTGCGGCAAAACTGTTGCAAGGAGAGAGACACAGTGAGTGAGGCAGTTTCACAGAATCCTTGAGATTAAAAACATATCCCTCGGCCAGTAATCCTAGAATTCTGGGAGGCCAATGCAGGAGGATCTCTTCAGCTCAGGAGTTTGAGACCAGCCTGAACAAAAGCGAGACCCCATCTATACTAAAAGTAAAAAAATTAGCCAGACACCATGGCGTACACCTGTAGTCTTAGCTACTCGGGAGGCTGAGGCAGGAGGATCATTTGAGCCCAAGACATGGAGGTTGCAGTGAGCTATGATGACGCCACTGTACTCTACCCAGGGTGCCAGAGCTAGACTCTGTCTCAAAAACAAAAACAAAATATATCGCTTATTCACAAGAGATTTTAGAGAAATTTGCAGCTTCTGAGACCTTAGTGAAAGGTAAATTTAACTCACCTCATCTAGATTTATTATTATTATTATTATTATTATTATTATTATTTTAGGACAGAGTCTCACTCTGTTGCCTGGGCTAGAGTGCCATGGCGTCAGCCTAGCTCACAGCAACCTCAAATTCCTTGGGCTCAAGCAATCCTCCTGCCTGAGCTTCCTGAATAGCTGGGACTACAGGCATGCGCCACCACGCCTGGCTAATTTTTTCTATATATTTTAGTTGGCCAATAAATTTTCTTTCTATTTTTAGTAGAGACGGGGTCTCGCTCTTGCTCAGCCTGGTTTCAAACTTCTGACCTTGAGCGATCCTCCCGCTTCGGCCTCCCAGAGTGCTAGGATTACAGGCGTGAGCCACCGCACCCAACCTACATTTATTATTATACTTTCTGATACTCGTATCTTTTATTTTTCTCTAAAGCAAAAGAAATCATAAAAGATACTCATTTTCTATTTGGTTTTAATTTTCATTTTTCAAGTGGTCAGCTATATCAGCTAAGGGAAGTTATGAGGTTTGCTTTTTAATTCATCTATACATTTAATTTTTTAAAAAAGGTTTTCATCAAACCTGTGTGTTAGCTCTGACTTCACTTCATCCTTAGGGATACTCACCCCTTTTTCCTGGCCTCAGTGCTTAGGCCAGTGCTCTGTTATCCTTGCTAGCACAGGATGAAGTTGGAGAAATTTGTGCTGCTTTCATCTCTGAGATGTAAGTGGTGATGTAGGTAACTGCTGCCAGGATACCCAAGAATCTCACTGTGCTTAGCACAAATAGTAAAGCAGTTGCAGGCAATCCACTGGTTTCAGCAACCAGTGAAGCAAAACACTGTTAGAAGTTGAGATCAAAGTGAGGAGACTTGGAATGAGGTGTTTGCTCTACTCATCGTGAGTGCTGGAATAGAGGTGAAGGCATGAGGAATAGCAGTACAGTCAGTCCTGAAAGACGAAGAGGAAGGTGCCAGGTGGATAGGGAGATATATTCTCAGCAGTAACAAAGTGAGTGTGGAAGCGAAAGAGCGAGGCACACGCAGGAGAGGGTGGACAGCTGGGGCTCCCACACCGGGAGCGAGTGATGGGAACGTGGAAGTAAGACTGAAGGAACTGGGGGCTGGGCGTAACGGGGTGCATGAGGAGCTGACAGCTGACACTGTTGAAGGCGATGGGGCAAGCATGGGTTCAGAAAGGAGGGTGTGAAGCAGGAAAGGGATGGATGAGATGGTTTCTTGCGTGACAACGAGGGCAGGTTAGAGCTCAGGAGTAAGGAGACCACTGGTAGAGAAGTCGGGAGACTGTTGCAGCGACTCAGGGAGGAGCTGATCCAGGCCTGCAGTACAGGAGACGTGAGAAAACAGAGCAGGGTGACTTCAGAGAAAAGGAGTGGCCCTTCTGCCACCAACCAGCTGTGCACCTCACCACTCGATGGCATGCTTCAACTAGGCTCCTTCCTTCCAGCCCTAGAGTTCTGTGATTTTATGAGAGCCCTAGCTCAGGACTGTTGCCGCACAGCGACGCCAAAGACTGTCTTTAAGCAGATGGCAGTTTAGAAAGACCTGCCCTTCCTTGCAAGGGCCTGCATTTCCTAGAGCTGCTGCTGCTGCCTGGAGCCAGTACTTTATTCGTTCCTTTACTCCGCAGTTTTGTTTCTCTTCAAAGTAAAAACTAATAGATTCCAGCTGTTGGAATAAAGTTGTGGTCAAGCCAATGGCAGAACAGTAGGTTTTCTGGCCTGAAATGCCTCCAGTGGAGATAGGAGTTGGTGCTTAGTTATTTTCACCCCAGCTGAACTCATGCCAAGAACAGCCGGTACTGCGTTGGTTACCCTTTGAAGGGGGTGGGATTGTTTTTCTCTGTCCACTGACACTGATCATATAAACGTCAAGATCCAGAGAAAGTAAAATTGGTGTTTGGGGGTTTTTTTTGGCAGGCACCTGAATTATTTAAAACTAAACTTTAAAAAAGTAACTTATCAAAAACTAATGGAAAATTACAGTACTTTAGGCATATGAATTAGACATCCTTTATTCTGCTTTTTCTTCGTAACTTTACAGTGAATTCTACAGACAGGGCATTCCAGTTGTGGCAGAGATAGAAGAAAAGCCAGGAGGAGGCTGCATAAATCAGTTCCATCATTTTCCCAAGGAGTTGTACGCTCCCCTTTCCAGAATGAGATAATACATAGGGACTGGCCTGTTAGCTCGCCATGACGGCTCAGTTCAAGAGATGTCAAGCTGTCTTGAAGAGAATAAGGGAAAATGTCACTTCATTCTCCTAGAAGATTAGTCAGAGCAAGAGTTTGTGGGATTTTTTATTACTATTCCTAGCTCTAACTAGAGATATTAATTTGGTTTTGTTTTAATGGAGAAGGAGAGGAGGTTGCCTTGGTACAGAGTTAACTCTTATCCATGGGAGCTGGGGGAAGAGTCCTGTGTTCACATACACCTGTAAGACTGGAGGGTGTCTGGGTGGGCCACTCTTGTTCTTTTGGGAGCAGGGAAGAAGTCTCCTTTTGATTAGGCTTAGGTATTTCTGTACATCACCTTTGGGCAGCATTCCTGTCTCCTGTCCCACGCCTTTCCCACTACTGTAATCAGAAGTTGAGAAATAGAACAACCTGAGTGTTTGTGGAGTATGCTACCATAGGTTGCTATTTAACATCTGTTGAAGTCCAGCTTTTTAAACTTTATTCTTAAAGGTATTTTATTCTCGGTGTGGTACAGTGCCTCACACCTATAATCCCAGCACTTTGGGAGGCTGAGGTAAGAGGATCACTTGAGCCCAGACCAGCCTGGGCAACATAGAGAGATCCCATCCCTAAAAATATATATGTGTATGTGTGTGTGTGTGTGTGTGTGTGTGTGTGTGTGTGTGTGTGTGTGTATATATATATTTTTTTTTAATTAGCCAGGTGTGGTGGTGCACTCCTATAGTCCCAGCCACTTGCTGGCATGTGCCTGTAGTCCCATTCCCAGCTGAGGCAGGAGGATTGTTTGAGCCCAAGAGTTTGAGGCTGAAGTGAACCATGATCTTAATGCTCCAGCCTGGGTGACAGAGGGAGACCCTGTCTCTTTAAGAAAATTCTTAAAGTCTTGCCTGCAGGATATATCTTTCCAAGACTGAGTACCTGGACTTTTCCAGACTAGGTTTTGGTGATAAGTCCCATTTTAAAATGTCTCTAAAAATTCAGTGACCAGACGTGAATGCTGTGGAACTATAAACTGCTGCCTCGGAGGAGTGTCATCTTAGATCATAGTGCACCCTTTGTTGGGGGGGAGGTGGGTGTTGCTGAATCACCCTTTAATAAAAGCCCCCTGCTGACTGTGGTTGACTACTAAGTAGTCATTGTTGTCTCTTCCCTTCTCCCATTCCTACTTTCCAGAGGTTCAAGCGGTTCTGCTGACTGACATTTTAGTTTTCCTTCAAGAAAAAGACCAGAAATACATCTTTGCATCATTGGTAAGCGCAATTGTTATTCTCTTAGTGGTACTCAAAACAGCTAGGTTAGGTGCTCTCCCACCCTCCCGAGATTAAATGGCTCAGGACAAGTTCCTCTGAGTAGTTTCCTATGTACCCTCACAATTTTCTGTCACCCTTTCTACCCTCAAAATTATTTTTCTTTTCCATCACCATCCTTTCAAGTGTCTTGCACATTTGATGATTTGATCTGCAAAGAAATCCGTTGCTGGAGTGTTTCTCACACATTTGGCCCCGTACAAGGTGCTCACGTATGGTATCGCTGCCCACGTTCTCTGGGGAGCCTAGAAGGATGCCCCATGTAGAAAACACGGCTAGAACACGTAAAGCCATAAGTTATCCCCCTATGGAAGTCTTTTTCTGTTTGTTAAAATTTGAAGGAAAATAGCAGATCTTTTTCTTTATCCTACAGCTGCCATTGTTTTTTAAACCATATGCTTTTAAAACCTCATCTGGTCTTACCTTAGATCAAAGTTGACGTTCAGAGAGTAGTTTGTATATATCTTACATTTGCCCTCTTTCCTTTTTCCAGGACCAGAAATCAACAGTGATCTCTTTGAAGAAACTGATCGTAAGAGAAGTGGCACACGAGGAGAAGGGTTTATTCCTGATCAGCATGGGCATGAAAGATCCAGAGATGGTAGAGGTGCATGCCAGCTCCAAAGAGGAACGGAACAGCTGGATTCAGATCATCCAGGATACAATCAACACCCTGTGAGTTAGACACCACCACCGCCCTCCCCAGCCCTCCTCATTTCTCTGTGATTTCATAATGGACTGGACTGTGACCAGCGTAATTGACATCTTGCAAATGTTTTGTTTTGGTTGTATTAGGAACAGAGACGAAGATGAAGGAATTCCTAGTGAGAATGAGGAAGAAAAGAAAATGTTGGACACCAAAGCCCGGGAGTTGAAAGGTAAGCCGTTGGCAATGGTCTGAGACCCTGGTCTGGGAAATGTCTGCACTTGCACGGGACTGCTAGGGGTTTGGGGCAGTACTAGCTGCCAGCTGCCTCTCGGTTCTAAAGCTTCCCCAGCAGGCCCTTGAAAACAGAGATGAATAGCTTTTAACAAAAGAGAAACCGATTCGAGCTGACCTGGGTCTCGGTAAAGAATGGCTGTAAGAACGTGTCCAGTACTCGATCAAGAGAATATAGATGATCTTGTCTTAGTATCAGTGTTCTTGGACCCTGGTGACATTCTTTGTACTTTGTCACAGGCCAAAATCCATAGTCACATCTGAGATTAAAACAAGGAGAGAAAGGTATTTGAGGAAAAGAATTCTCCAGTTAATCTGTTCAATCCTCCTGCCAGTCTCCCTGACTTTACCACTTATGTGTGTGTTCACAAATGAGTTGTGAGGTGGTTTGGGGAGAAGGGTACGTACTGATCTGCATCTGCCCACTGTGTACTGAGTAATTCCTATTCCATGTAGCACTGCCAGTGTCGCCACAGGACAGGTGTCCTAATGCCCACCTAATGTCCTAATGTGCAGACGGAGGAGACAGTTGAGGACCACAAGGGCCAAGCAACTCAGGGTCACTTTTGCAGTTCGTAGCTGAGCCAGAATTCTAATCCCTGTCTTAAAAACATCAGGGCCTGCTGTTCTTCCCTCTTTGCCAGTGGCTCATTGCATGTTCCAAAGTAAAGACTGTGCTTTGGGTAGAAATAAGGCTTAGAGTTAAATAAACCAAGGGACCAAGGAGGTTAGTCAGGCCTTCAAGCTGTATGGGTAGCATTCTGCCTCAGGGTGGGGGATCAGAAAAAGATGGTTGGATTAGACCAGAGCCAGAGTTATATCAAAGTTATTAGCCCATGATTAGGATGACAAAGATAAAATTTTCCTTCTTTTAACTCTTGTTAGACACCTGCCTAGGCATACTGCTAGGTGCTAGGGATGCAAAGTCCTAAAACAGCCTTTGCCCTTGAGAGGCTCACACGCTAGCAAGGGAGACACACATAAATGACAGGACACAAAGTGTTAGGAGACCATAGGCACATTTAAAGTATGTGTGATTTGTTCATCCTGCCACTGGTAAATCTCACAAAGAAGTTGACGCATGAGCCCATGTCAGAGAAAAATTAGCAGACAAGAACAGCTATGTGCAAAGGTGATAAAGGATGTGATGTGTCTACCAAGGAGTGACAGGTTTTCTATGTCTGGAGAGTCAGGACTTAAGATGAAAGCTTAAGTAGGAAAGCACCAGGTCTTAATAGGTAATTTAAAAAGATTTTATCTAAGCATGTTTAAGCCAGTGGGGAAAATTTCTTGAGGGAGATAGTGAAGTGGAAAGACCAATTGGGAGACTCTTAGGGTAGGTTAGGCAAGAAAATGAGCTAGAGAGGGCATGATGTAAGAAATAAGGTCATTAAAATCTGATCTTGGGGGGTTGGCAAGACAAGGTGAGGAGACCCAGTCTCTCCCAGGTCTCCAAATTGGGCACCTGGAGGATGAAGAGTTACTGGCTGAGGAAGAGCTCCCAAGCTAAAGGGAGGAGGTGGGTAGAATAGAGAAATGGTCATTTTCTGACATACTGAGAACAAAGTGTCTCAGTGGAAGTGGCCACTTGGCATTGGGACCTCAGGGTCTGGTGCTAACAAAAGAGGGGAGGATTTGGGATGCTTTTTGTGAATAGCAGCAGGTAGGAAGTAATCAAAGCCATGGGAGTGATTGAGATTCCCCAAGAGAAAAGTGTATAAGATGTAGAAGGCAGCTCAGTGTGGAGCTGAGGGAGGAACCCAGATAAGATATCCCATTGCAGATGGCAGATCTGTAAAGTGCCCTGAGGAGTTCAAGACCAACTTGAGCAAGAGTGAGACTCCATCTCTACTAAAAAAAAAATAGAAAAATAGAAAAATTAGCGGGCGTGGCGGTATGTGCCTATAATCCCAGCTACTCGGGAGGCTGGGGCAGGAAGATTGGTCGAGGCCAGGAGTTTGAGGTTGCTGTGAGCTGTGATGACCCCACTGCACTGTAGTTGGGGCAGTAGGGCGAGACTCTGTGTCAAAAATATAAGTAGTACCCTGAAAAAGAATGTTAGGGAAAGAACCAATATCCTCAAAGTGAAGAAGGGAAATTGTTTCTGAAGGAAGGAGGAATTATAAATTCTGGAAAAGTTGAACTCACAGACCTCATTGGATTCAGTCATGAGGGTAACCTTGGAAAGAGCAGTTGCAGGGAGCAGTGGGTTGAGAAATAAACGGAGGGTGGGGGAGTGAAGTGGAGTGAAGCAGAGTGCAGACTTGTTATGTCAGAATTCCAGTGTTTGCCAAAAAGACCCAGGATGGTTTTCCAGGTAGAAATTATACAACAGGCTGGGAACGGTGGCTCACATCTGTAATCCCAGCACTTTGGGAGACTGAGGTGGGAGGATCACTTGAGCCCAGGTGTTTGAGACCAGACTGGACAACATAGTGAGACCCTGCCTCTACAAAATATACAAAAATTAATGGGGCATGGTGGTATGCACCTCTAGTCCCAGCTAGGGAAATTGAGGCAGAAAAATCACCTGAGCCCAGGAGGTTGAGGCTGCAGTGAGCTAGGATTGCGCCTCTGCACTCTAGCCTGGGTGACAGAGTGAGAGTCTGTCTCAAACAAAAAAAAAGAAAAAGAAAAAACTTACAGAACACAAACTTCATACCGTCTTTGTGATAAAAAAGAAGTTGGGGCCAGGCATGTTGGATCATGCCTGTAATCCTAGCACTCTAGAAGGAGGGGGGGAGGGCAGTGATATGTTCTGTTTTGTTCCTTTCCATAAATTACCACAAGGTGGTGCTCATGTCCTAGTCATCTCATAATAAACACCAATCAAATCCCAGATCATTTTCTCCTTCCACCCTGCAGAACAACTTCAACAGAAGGACCAACAGATCCTCCTCTTACTAGAAGAGAAGGAGATGATTTTCCGGGACATGGCTGAGTGCAGCACTCCCTTGCCAGAGGATTGCTCCCCAACCCAGAGCCCCAGAGTCCTCTTCCGCTCCAACACGGAAGAAGCTCTCAAAGGAGGACCTTTGATGAAAAGTGCAATAAATCAGGGTAAGTTACAATTCAGCATTGCTTCTTCCTTCATCTCCCAGAGTGGTTTACACACTGGTATCATCTACCGGATTTTAGGCTTCTTTTACTGTGAAATGAAGCACAAAAACAGAAAATTTACTCAAAACAAATATTTTACTGTAATAAACTATTTTCAGGTGAACATCCTTATAACCACTACCCAGGACAGGAAATTAAATATGGCCAGATACTCTAAAAGCCCCTGCACGAGCCCTGTCCCTATCACACTTCCCTCCTTCCAAAAGGGGCAGTTATCCTGACTTGTATTAGTTATCGCTCATGTTTCTTCATAGGTTCCTGGCCCATGTGCCTGTTCCTAGACACTGTAGTTCTTTTTTTTTTTTTGAGACAGAGTCTCACTCTGTTGCCTGGGCTAGAGTGCCATGGCATCAGCCTAGCTCACAGCAACCTCAAACTCCTGGGCTCAAGCGATCCTGCTGCCTCAGCCTCCCGAGTAGCTGGAACTACAGGCATGCACCACCATGCCTGGCTAACTTTTTCTATATATATTAGTTGGCCAATTAATTTTTTTCTATTTATAGTAGAGGCAAGGTCTCGCTCTTGCTCAGGCTGGTTTCAAACTCCTGACCTCGAGCAATCTGCCCGCCTCGGCCTCCCAGAGTGCTAGGATTACAAGCGTGAGCCACCGCGCCCGGCTGACACTGTAGTTCAGTCTTGCTCACCTCTCAGTATGCATTTAAGATTCTTAATTTACAGTTCCCCTCACCATCTCCTTTTCTTCTACACAGTTTTTCTTTGAGTAATCTGAGCTTTTTGACTGATAGATTTTCTCGCAGTTTAGATTTTATTCATATAGCAGTTCTCGCTCGTTTCCTTCAAATGTGCAGTTGGATTCAGAGGCTTAATTACTCGGACCTAATCTCTTTGGCAAGCCGTGTTCCTATGGCATTGTGTTCTTTCATGGGGAAACAGAAAATACCTAATCTCCTTTTTGTGACATGTAGGGAAAGCTGGATAAAAGGATATGTACTTGATTTTTCTTCCTCTCTTTATTTACCAATTTTCAAAATAGTGAATTGGTTTATGGTCATCTTCTGAAGGTGATTTTTTAAAAAAATATATATATTATTACAGACTCAAGAAATTAAACTTATTTGATAGGTTTCACGCCATTGCAATTCTTTATTAAAAGCTCAAAATGCTCTATATTTGCCAGTGAACACCCCTTTGGGTTTTTTTTTGTTTTATTATTATTTTTCACTTTTTCTTTTCTTTTTTTTCTTTTTTAGCCATACTGGTGAGTTAGAATTAACACCTCTTTGTTTGGCTTCTGAGTCCTGAAATGGTATTTCGTTTTCCTTGCAGTTCTCAGATCATCCTACCTTACTTTCCAGGGAATGTCTTGGCTGCCTTGGGTCTGATTTCAGAAGCCAGGCTCCTCCCAGCAAATTACTCTGCCTCCTCTGCACGCTTTCAAATGTCCTAGGCCTTCTCTTATATAAGGTTGAAAGTTTCACCTCTAAATTTTTAGTAGAATCCCACACCCCCTGAACCAAGACCCTTCTCTGATCAAGGAGAGTCACCCAGTCACCCTTTGGAACCTTCTGATCATGTTCCCTGTATGTCTCATGTATGCCATGAATTTTTTTTTTCCTCCTTTGAAGGCAAGATGTCAGTTGTTCATGTTTCCTTTTTTCCAGTGGAGATCCTTCAGAGTTTGGTGAGTGGGAGCCTAGGAGGCACTCTCGGGCAGGCTGTCAGCAGCCCCGTTGAGCAGGAGAGCCCGGTCGGCCCTGTTTCCCTGCCCCGGAGAGCAGAGACCTTTGGAGGGTTTGACAGCCATCAGATGAATGCTTCAAAAGGTGAATGACTTGAACTCATGTGCTTTTATAGGCAACATCCTACACAACTAAAAATGACCCGTATTCTAGTAGCTCCATCTTCCCTGGCCCATTCAGTCAGGAAATGTTTTAGTGAGATCCTAAAACACTCTTAGAACCTCTGTCAGAGCCACGTTCATTTTGAGTAGCAAAACAGATTTTCCTGGGATCTCAGCTAAGCTATAGCCAAAGGAGTAACAATTGTTTCTCTTTCCTGCTTCTGGTTCTCTTGTATCGGCGAAATTATTAATAATCACTTAACTGCCACTAAGTGGTTTCCTCCTTTTGGGGACATTAATAAGATTCAGAAACATCACATCCCCCAAGCTGTCTATATTGTATTCTTTTCTTGGCTAGCTATCTTCACAACTTTTTAAAAAATACCTATTTGGTTTTTTGTTTAGGTGGCGAGAAGGAAGAGGGAGATGATGGCCAAGATCTTAGGAGAACAGAATCGGATAGTGGTCTGAAAAAGGTATTTCTCTCTAAAATACACTATGTATGAACCTCCTTGGCGGTTCCTTCTGAACTCATAACAATTGAAATTATTCCAGTTTGGTCTTGTTTCGGATGCCTGACTTGCTGCTTTTAATAAAATCTTGCTTTGTTTTCATAAAGGGGAAAGCACATTTTTAAAAACAAACAGTATAAGTAAACCACATTACTATTGGCTGTTTGGCCTCGCTGGCTTGGAGCAGTATGTTTATATTCATAACTCTGCCATGGCCCTGGCAGGACCAGTTTCATTAAGAGTTTTGTTTCAGATGCTTTAAACCAACCTGATCTCTTTACAGGGCTTGAGTAATAAGTAGTTCAACCTTAGATCTTTACTACCTTGCCATGAGAAGCTGTGGTAGGAAAAAAAGAAAATGAGAAGCTACGGCATAGCTTAGAAACACACTGAATATAATTTTTGCATCAGGGTCTTCATTTCTTAAATGTATGTTTTTTTTATAGGGTGGAAATGCTAACCTGGTATTTATGCTTAAAAGAAACAGTGAGGTAAGGACACTATGAGCTATTCAAAAGAATATGTATTATATGTCTTATCATTATTAGGTTAGGAATATTCATTTTTGTTTCACTCTTACAAATAAGCTAACTCCTGACTGTAATCTGTACACATAAGCAATACAGTTGTCAATTTTCTTTACCTTTTTCATTTCTCTGCCCCCAAGGTACCATCTGGGCATTTTGCCAGTTAGAGAATTGCCTACTAAGGTGGCCTCTGACACTCCGTCCTTAAGAAGCCCCTTGCTTTTAATCAGCTTTCTCTAAACATGGGCTGTGAAGCCCCCTTGGTGGTTTCCTTCAGTCTCGGCACACTAAGTAGGATTCGTAGCAGCCTTTCTGTAACACAAAGCTAATGCCCAAAGCCACAGGTCTGGAACACGGGCATTTAATTTGTGGGTAATTCTACATAGTAATTTCTTATCCTTCAAGTACTCAAGTTGAGTTTTCTTTGAGTATTGCCTTTGACTTGAAATGTGTTTCACCTGTGAGGTAGCCTTGGTGTCCTTCCAGGTGGAAATCAGATTCTGATGCAGGTATGTGTCCCCTTCCTTAAGCTGAGTTCCGCTCATCCTGCAGGGAAACCACGCCACTTTCACTCATCCCCTCCTCAACTCCTTCTTCTGAAACAATCTTCAGGGTTACTGCCATCTCCAAATGAGTTCTGAGCATTTGGCTTTGTGTGTAATCAGACTGAAATCCGATATGTGATAGTTGCTTGTTAGGGTGGACCGCTCAAGGATTTTTTAGTCTCAGTCTATTGCCCGGGCTACAGTGCAGTGGCATCAGCCCAAGGCTCAAGCAATCCTTCTGCCTCAGCCTCCCAAGTAGCTGGGACTACAGGCACATACCACCATGCCCGGCTAATTTCTTCTATATATTTTTAGTTGTCCAGCTAATTTTTTCTATTTTTAGTAGAGACAGGGTCTCGCTCTTGCTTAGGCTGGTTTGGAACTCCTGAGCTCAAAGGATCCTCCTGCCTCTGTCTCCCAGAGTGCTAGGATTACAGGCGTGAGCCGCTGCGCCCAGCCTCAAGGAAGTTCTTTGTGCTGCTGCTTTTTCTTGCTTTTAACATGATATCTTAAACCTCCAAGGAGCTTTGTTTTGAAATTTTAAATGAAGAGGACTCTTTCCTTTTTCTCCCTAAGATAAAGCGGGATATTGTTTTATATTTGTTGCATCAACATCTAAGTACAGTGGTGTCCTGAAGGCATCCCCTTGGTGTGCTTATCTTTGAATGACACAAACCTGGGCTTCACTGGCTGCTTGCTCTCTGTATCTGCCGCTTGAAAATTAGCTGTTGGTTTTTCCATTTGGAAACATTTTCCCCTATATTTAGTGAAAAGATTCAGGGTAAGAAATAGTTTGAGACCAGTTTGTTCTTTAGGCATTCCTGTATGGATTACACACTATAGATGCTCTGCCAGGAGCAGCAGGTCTTCTGTGACTTCTCTGTTTATTAACCTTCTTAGTGTAGTGGGCCGAAATATCTAGACGCAAAAGCTGGTATTCTGGCCTGCCGCACTAAGAGGGTTAAGAATAAACTTAAGGGGTAAGACGTATTCTCAGAGGAGCTAAGCCTGGTTATTAAGTTTTTGTGTTTTGTTTTTAAGTGATTTAAGTGTTATAAAAGGAATACACATCTATGGTAGAAAAGTAACATCCGTTTCTTGCTAATAAACGTAATTCCACCACTGAGAAATAACTACTGTTAAACGTTTGTTTATATTTTTAGCTTTTTCTTCAACATATGTTTATATATCTGAATTGCATGTGTGTGACTAGTATTAAAATAGTTTTACACAATTTGTATTGCTACTTCCTGGGGCTTCATATCCTGCTTTTTTCTCTTAACACGCATTAAGAGCATTTTCCCAAGGCATATTTGTATCGAAAGCATGCTACTGAACAGCTACATGTTATTATATTGTGTACCGTGATCTATTTAATCTTTCTGGCAGTTAATTTTTTTTCTACTTTTTGGTTTTTAAATAATACAGCCAAGAGCATCCTTGTACATACATTTTTTGCACAGTTCTTTGATTATTTCCTTAATATGCCAAATTGTATCTGAAAGGAAGTTATGCAATGTTTGGCCCTACCCGTCAGATACAAGAGTGCCCATATTCATCTTACTTTCATCATTATTTTTTTATTGACATTTGATCAGTCTGATAAGTTTTAGTGGCATTTCTTTATTTTATTTTGCATCTATTTGATTTCAAATAAGGTTGAACCATTTATATGTTATATAATTGGCCATTTGTATTTCTTCTTTTGTAAATTGCTGTTTGTATTCCTGGCCTATTTTTCTACTAGGGTATTTTTTGTCCCCATATTGATCTATAAGAACCTTTTTTAAATCAAAGATTTTTTCTTTTAACTTTCTGTTCACTTTTGTCATTTGCCTTTTAATTTTACATTTTTACATTTTGAAAATAAAAATTGTGTGGTTTCTTTCATTGCTTCTGTGTTTGAAAGGTCTTCCCTGTTTCAAGATCTAAAAACATTCTCTTATATACTTTCTTCCAGCATTTTTATGGTTTATGCTTTATCCTTAACATTTTTATCTATTTGAACATATTTTTATTATGTAAGCCAATGTCCCAACTTCATTTTTTCTAGAAATGTAGCCAATTTTCTCAGAGCAGCTAACTGAATATCTTTTCCTTCCTCATTGATTCAATATGCTACTTACACACTGTGACTGATGGTTCTAGACTTTCTGTTGTGTTACACTGTATGTGTGCCATTTGTGTGCTCGTCACTGTAAATAATGGAAGCTTTATAGTGCATCTCAGTGTGTGCTGACATCCCTCCTAAACACACAGTTGTTTTGTTTGTTTGGTCTTTTGTTTTTCTTGGCTGCCTGTACCCACTTATCCTCTTTGGGGCTTTCAATTTGAAAATATTTCATTAAAATACAAGCCCCTTGTTGTATTTTAAGGAGGCTACCTTGTCAGATAACCACGTAGCATGACGGATGCTGAGATTCATAAAGTCCTGAAATGAATGTTCCTGCTTTGTTCTTTTTGTAGCAAGTTGTCCAGAGCATCGTCCATCTCCACGAACTCCTCAGCACTCTGCAGGTACATGACTTGATGTTTTATCTGTGCGCCTGTTTGTTTAGAGGACAGCAGTAAAGAGACCATTCTTGACTTGGATCTTTGAGTTTTGTAAGTTGCTTGTGGGTAAATGGAGCCCTCATTCTAGGGAAGACTAGCTCTCATGGTGAGAAACGTTACAGAATGCAGCGGTTAGAGTTCCGTCAACCTTACAAGACTAGAACTGGTGAACAGCGCTTGTGGTACTGCAGGTACTACGTGACAACCCTTCCACGAAGCACATAGAGTGCTCGTGTGCATTTGGGAGACCATTTCACTCTAGAAAGCCTTTAGTATGATTATAAGTTTCCAAATTCCATATCTCTATGTGGTATTTGGATAGAGTGGCCCTCCCAGAACAACTGTTGTTTAGTACTTTCTGAGAACATCCTCAAATTCTGCTCACTTCCTTTCTTGAAGACCTAAACTATTTCATTCCTACCTTTCATTCCCACCTCCAAACACAGACACGCACCTCCACCCCTGTAATGCCAATGACCAGCATGTGACCAGGTTTGACAAAAAACTGAGCTCCCAAACTTTTGAGGTTCTTGTTTGATAACTGCCCACAGTTAGCATTTGTTGTATCAGACCAGCTTGAAAAATAAGGGGAGAGTCAGAGTCCATCATGATGTCTGGTCCCTCCACCCGGTTTGGGGTCAAGAGGGGTCCCCAAAGTTGGCTGTCCTCCTGGCCAGAGTCTCACGGCTCCCCTCCCCCGTGTGCCCCCTTAGGGTGTGGTGCTGCAGCAGGACAGCTACATCGAGGACCAGAAGCTGCTGCTGAGCGAGAGGGTGCTCGCCCGGAGCTTGTCACGCCCGAGCTCGCTCATCGAGCAGGAGAAGCAGCGCAGCCTGGAGAAGCAGCGCCAGGACCTGGCCAACCTGCAGAGGCAGCAGGCGCAGCACCTGGAGGAGAAGCGCAGGCGCGAGCGCGAGTGGGAGGCCCGGGAGCGGGAGCTGCAGGAGCGCGAGGCCCGGCTGGCGCAGCGCGAGGAGAAGGTGCAGCAGGGGCAGCGGGACCTGGAGAGGGACTGGGAGGAGTTCCAGCAGAAGAAGGGCACGTACCAGTGTGACCTGGAGAGGCTGCGCGCCGCCCAGAAACAGCTCGAGAGGGAGCAGGAGCAGCTGCGACGAGACGCGGCAGAGCGGCTCAGCCAGCGGCAGACGGAGCGGGACCTTTGCCAGGTAACGGCTCCCCGTGAGCCAGGAGGTGGGAGGGAGGGTCTGCTGTACTGCCCCTGTGATGGCCACCCGAAGACCCTGAGCACCAGGAGAAAGTGAGCAGAGATATAAAGCCTGTTTTTGCAGAATCTTTGTTTTGCCTTGAAGTGGGGTGGGCAGGGGAAGAAAGCAGGTCTTTTTCTGCTCATTGCATCTCTAAGATGCTGAAGAAGGCAGGGCACAGTGGCCCGTGCCTGTCATCCTAGCACTCTGGGAGGCAGAGGCAGGCGGATCACTCAAGATCAGGAATTCCAGACCAGCCTGAGTGAGCAAGAGTGAGACCCTGTCTCTACTAAAAGTAGAAAGAAATTAATTGGCCAGCTAAAAATATATATAAAAAATTAGCCAGGCGTGGTGGTACATGCTTGTAGTCCCAGCTACTCTGGAGGCTAAGGCAGGAGGATTGCTTGAGCCCAGGAGTTTGAGGTTGCTATGAGCTAGGCTGACGCCATGGTACAGAGGGAGACTGTCTCAAAAAACAAAAGAGGGTGAAGAGAAGAACAGACATGCTGAGGGGTTTTGGCCAGGGCGGTAAGTGGACCTTGGAGATGACTGGCACTTCCCTCAGCCACCGTCAGTGTAGGCCAGAGGAGCCTCAGTGTGTCCGGGAGTGGCCCTGCTGCTCCACTCCCCGTGAGAAATCAGTCATGGCCTCCACCTAGAGGAACTCGCAGCCTAGTGGGGAAACACACCAAGGATAAAGAGGCCCCTAGAACACACATCTGCGGTCACAAGACAGCAGGAAATGGCTCTGATGCCAGTCGCTAGAAGAACTGTGTGGAGGACCAGTGGGGTCCTCAGAGGACAGAGAAAACCCAGCCCAGCACATGGCCACTCCTCTTGAGGACAGATGACATTCCTGCTCGGGGATGTTCAGACAGCTGGACTCGGCGTAGCTCCTGATTTATCTTGGGACTGCTGATGAAACCTTTCTTTCCCTGTAGCTGCTGCCTGTATGGCGAGGCTTCAGTTATCCAGCACAGACTCCGAGTTTATTTCAGTGATTTCCGTGGTTATTCGGGAACACGGACGCTGTGGCAGATGGAGAGCCTGGGTGTGCACAGATCTGCCTGTCTTTTGGAATGCATGTCATGTTGCCATTTGATTGACTGCCCTTGGACCGTGAAAGAAAATTAGACTGGCACCTTCCAGAGTGGGGAGCAGTTTTAACTTTCTGCACAGGTTTTCGAATATGTGATGGGAGCAACAAATGCTCTGTGTTGCTTTTTATGACATAAGGATGGATGCTACCCCTACCCCAGCAAAATCAGCAGGGCTTTGACAGAGGATCCCAGGCAACGGAGAGCACAGATGAGCTCATCCTCTTTATCTGTGGATCCTGCAACCAGGGTCTCGGGGTCAGCTCAGCTCTTTCGCTTACCCTCCAACCTGAAAAGAACCCAGGGCTTGCTTCTGTAATCTCTTTGCCTAGAAATAATTATCTACATCCCTGTATAATCAGTCTTAAAATAAGCAGCTTTCTTGTTTCTTCAAGGAATGGGAGTTCTTTTCTAAGCTGTCCTGTCAAAGGCACTATTAATTCTTAATGATGCTGAAGTTACTGTATGTAATAAAAATATTAGTGGTATCAAAGGTGACACTTTTAACATGTTTACAGGCAGTAGTACTTGGGGGAGGGCAGTGAACGAAACTGAGAAGTTCTGAACCTCTTTACCGTTGTGTGGAGTGCACAGACGTGGGCGGGCAGCAGCCGGTGGGGGGGGCATCGGGGCGTGGACGGACGCTGCATTAAAACCCCTTCTCTTGTATGTGTGCAGGATTCACACCAATACAGCAAGTTGATGAGGATCCCATCCTTCTTGCCCAGTCCCGAGGAGTCCCTCTGGCCACCTGCACCTTCGATAGCCAAATCTGCATCGTTAGACTCAGAACTCTCAGTGTCCCCAAAAAGGAACAGCATCTCTCGGACACATAAAGATAAGGGGCCTTTTCACATACTGAGTTCAACCAGCCAGACGAACAAAGTAGCCGAGGGGCAGAGCCAGGCCCCAGCACCCACCTCTGCCTCCACCCGCCTGTTCGGGTTAGCTAAGCCAAAGGAAAAGAAGGAGAAGAAGAAGAAGAGCAAAACAGGCCGCTCTCAGCCCGGTGGTGAGTCCCCACCCCCAGTCTCCGTGTGGCCACAGTGTCTGTGCACTCTGAGGAGAGGGGAGAGATTAGTGGCACGAGCAGTTTAAAAAGGGTGCAGGCCGGGCACGGTGGCTCACGCCTGTAATCCTAGCTCTCTGGGAGGCCGAGGCGGGCGGATTGCTCAAGGTCAGGAGTTCAAAACCAGCCTGAGCAAGAGCGAGACCCCGTCTCTACTATAAATAGAAAGAAATTAATTGGCCAACTGATATGTATATAAAAAAAAAATTAGCCGGGCATGGTGGCGCATGCCTGTAGTCCCAGCTACTCGGGAGGCTGAGGCAGGAGGATCGCTCGAGCCCAGGAGTGTGAGGTTGCTGTGAGCTAGGCTGACGCCACGGCACTCACTCTAGCCTGGACAACAAAGCGAGACTCTGTCTCAAAAAAAAAAAAAGGGTGCAGTTCAGATGTCCGAAAGCCAAACTGTCATCCTTCTCACCAAACCCACTCGCTAATGGAACGCTTGTGCAGCAAGCATTTAAGCACCGCGCTGGCACACATGTGCAAAGGAGAGAGCGTGTGTGCGAGGCATTGCCCAATGGAGGAACTGGAACTCACCTAAATGAAGTAATTCAAGTCCTCCCTGCCTTTCTAAGCCTAGTCCGGTGACTAATGACGGTAGCTAGCGTTTGGTGATTGAATCCCCAAACGACTGCATGCTACCGATGCTGTTGACCCAAGGGAAGCAAGGAGATGGAAGGCCAGAGGTTACCCGGTGCGCCCACGGTCACAGCCCAGGGTTGAGCTATACTGACGACTACCTCCACGATTGTGAGCCGCTTTATCCCGAGTCCTCCTCTGTTCCTGCTCTGTAGGATCCATTAATCTCTTCCTTTTGTATGGAAGGTTAAAGAGAAATTTATGTTTTCCAGGCTCAGTTAGAAATATAAATTCTGGTGGGTATTGTAAAAGTTAAAAAGAGCGTTAGATAGTGAAAAATATCACTAAGGACCTCACTTACTTGAGCAGTTTGGAAACCCCTATGTGCAGAAAGTTACTTGCCCATAAGGCCCAGGCACCTGTTTGCATCACAGAAGACTTTTGGTTGGGGAGGAAGTTAAGTGAAAAGAACATTTTTTTTTTCTGAATTTCTTTCTGTTCTTGGTTTTCGCTTTTGCAGATGGTCCTGCGGAAGTATCAGCCGAAGGGGAAGAGATTTTCTGCTGACCTTTCTCCTCTCTGCGGAGGCAGCCGCTTCCTGGTCCTGGCCAGGGGTTCCCAGCCCACCTCTCTTGCTGTCCCTGTGTGCACAAGTCTCCTACACTGGACACCCGCTGCTCCTCAGCGTTCGGTCCTCCAGGGCAGCCCTGGGTCCTGGGCAAAAGGAGCAGAATGTGTTGAGTGTCAGGGTGGGGAGGGAAGCCCAGACTCTGCTTCGGCCATGGCTTTGTGGCTGCCAAGGACTCGTGGGTTGGGGCTGGCCCTGCTCAGGGTATTCCACTGAAGGTAGCGGCCCGGGAAGTGCAGGCAGTGGTTGTGGACATGTTGGGAATTCCTAAAGTCTGAAACAGTGTTTCCAAATGAGGTCTGAAACTCTGACTGCCTTTTATTTGTGGAAACATAGCCAAAACCAGACAGCAGATAGCTTGGACTTTATCTGTGTACGTATGCAGGGACCTGCATACCCACGTGGGGTACGCCAGGAGCACGCACGGCCTGCAGGGGGCGTGTGGTCAGCTTAGCTCAGCACGAGAGGGGTGCCTGGACGCTCAGAACTTCACCGGCAGTCCTCAGAGATTGGGTTCCCTTCAAACCCACCTGTGCACACACCACCCCCTTTTGGGCATGTATTCTCATTTCATTTTAGAAGGGATGGCAGACATTCGTGACAGCAGTGAGAGAAGGCGGGGCGCGTAACAGCATGTGGCCTGCACCACCTGGATCTCGTGTTTCAGGCACTCAAAATTAAGTATCTCATTTTCTCATCAAGTCCAGAGGAAATACACTGGCTTTCCAAGATGTGTGCCCACATGTTCTGGGCACACATGAAGTAGAGAGGCCTCCTTACCATCTTCCTGGCAGTGTGACACTTTTTGGTTGTCACTAACCATTCAGTAATGGCCGGGGCCTCCTGGCATGTTCTGAGCCCTCACAGCGGCTCCCGGGCGCTGCGCCCGGCCTGGTGGGGAGAGTGCGCCCTGCGGCACGCCGCTGGGAGGGGCCGGGCAGGAGCTGTGCTCTGAGGGCCCCAGCAAGGTTGTCCCCGCCCCCGTGCCAGGACAACTGGCAGAGAAGTAGGTTCAGGTGAAGGGTCGAGCCCAGGTGTAGCGGTTCCTGCCCATTACACGCCAGAAGGAGCTGACCCGAAAGGTGTCAGAAGGCCTTGGCAAAATTTGGTTTCTTAAAAAAAGTTCTAAATCTAAAAAGTCTGTTGGTTAATTGTATGCACCCCTGAACGATGGCACGGTTGCCGCCTGCTGCTGCTTTGCTTCTCTCGTTTTCTTTTCCCGCTGCGTTCTGGTCCGTGTCCGCCTGAGGCTTCCCGGCAGCTGGTTTTGCAGGACGGTTCATTGGTAGCGTTTCCCTCTGAGGCCCCTGCACCAAAGGGAGACCCTGCGAGGTTCTGTGCTTCACATGTGGCCTTCGGTTCCTGCTTTTTGCCCCTCAGAAGCATGGGGCTTTGAACATACTTTTAAAAAAACAAAAAAAATCTGTAACCTGGTGCTTGTTGATGAATTGCAAGCTGGCCTTGCAGATGGAGATATTTATCTTTCAGTTTATTTGAAAGAGGTCTGGTTTAAAATTTCTAGCCTAGATTTGTTTTATTTATTTTGTGTGTGTTGTTTTGTTTTGTTTTGTTTTGTTTTGTTTTGTTTTGTTTAAGGGTGAACCAGTACCAGCCCGACAGTTGACAGTGATCAGTGCCAAGAGGGCCTGGCAGTGAGCCGCTCACTCCTCAGTGTCTTTCCAGGGCCTTGAAGGCCCGGGCGAAATCTAAGGGTTGGAGAAGAGGGCCAGGTCCTTCCCTTCCCCACCCCACCTCACTGTTCTATCAAGGGAGTCTTCTCCCTCATTTGAGAATTAAGAAGTTGCCACCTATGGATGTTAAAGTGTCTTTTACTCCCAACTAGCTATGATGTTTAACTTTGGTTGCTTGGTGGTGTTTTTAAAAAAATGGAAATTTCACCTTTGCCCACCCTCCATTACCTTAAAACGGTTTGGTCAGGTTCTGGTTGGACAAGTTGAGACTCAGAGTCAGAAGAATGCCCCGGGCTTCATCCAGGAGTATGGTCTGCGGCGCAGAAAGAACCTCTTACCACGAACTGCTTCTGCATACCTGTGCCATCTCTTCCCGCCTTTGAAACTGACCTCAAAGGGACCTAATATTGTGCTTGGGGAGTTACCTGGGTTGTGGCTGCTTGTGCTCTTGCTTATGACTTTGAGAGTTGCTCTAGTTACCGAGTCTAAAGCCCTGTCTGGTTTTCTCTCCTGTGAGAAGGGGTGGTTTCTAGGTGACTCAGATTGAATTCCCCATCGCTGTTCCCACGTGAGGAAGCCGAGCTTCTCCACCAAGCTAAAGAAATCAGGTGCCCGAAATTGTGCTTAAGCTTTGGGGCACAGATGGAGATACTATCCAAAGTCCCCAGTGTCTAGAACCTCGTGCATGTCCTGGAAGGGTACTGCATCTTGTGTTGGGTGTAATCATCTCCGTGGTTGCCATCTCAATTGGGTGGCATGCACTTTAAACGCTCCCCTCAGTTGGCTTCATTTTTGAGACAATCAAAATATATTTTCTTCTTAGAAAATGAAGAGGGTTAAAACATGCAAATCGCCATATTCAGCCTTTGCCAACATTCTCTCCACCCTATGAGAGCAATCTGTGGGGAAGGAATCCTTATCGAGATTTTTTTTTAAAGGTACGAATCTTACCTTTTTTCCTCCCCATATATGTCTCAGGGTAATACCACTCAGAGTCATCCCTCTGCTGATTTTCTCCCTCACTTACTATCTTCCCAAGGCCTCAATATTAATAAGCACGAAGTTTTGAGACCATTGGGGTTTGTTTGTCGTTTACTAGGGAGAGGTGTTAGTGTGCAAGGGTTTAATTAAAATACTCCCTGCCTTAAATAAGGGTGGAACCATAACCTTGATAGGCCAGAACATGATCTAGAAATTGCCATCCAGAAAAGTACTTTTATTTCATTCTTTTGTCTCTAAGGCTCTTTTCCCATAGCCAGCTCTGCCTTCCCGAGGATTTTGGTATTTGCACTGGGGCTGAAGTTGAATGGTGGGTGGCTACTTGTGCCGAGAGGACAGCCAGGCCCTAGGAGGGGGTTTGTTTAGAAGACAGCCCTGGTGAGTGGCTTTCAGTGGCCAGAAAGAAGGTGGCTGAGGTGACTCCAGACCTGCCCAAGGGTACCCACCCTCCATGCTTGCATGCCCTGGAAAGGTGGAAACCTTGCAATGACCCTTTGGATGAAGTGGTGGCCGAGGCTGCAGGAGATGCACGTGCCTTGCCTGCCTTCAGGACCGACCCGGTGTCGCTCCTGTCCGTCCTCAGAAACAAAGGAGGGCAAAGAGTTTGTTTGGGTTTGGTTCTTAATTTTTGTTTCAATGTAGCATAACATTCCTCGTTAACCAGAGCCTTGGAACCTACTGCCTGCTGGCCAGGTTTTGAAATGACAGGTATTTTAATGCTGCCATAAAAGGAATTAAAAAAAAAAAAAAAAAAAGGAAGGGAAAATAAAGGTATCCTGCCACATACTCATCTAATTTAATTGTCAAAGATTGACAGGCCATGAATTATTTCTCCATCTCACTGAGGTTTGAAGGTGGGCACCCCCCACTGGCTAAGTGTCCCTTGCCACACAAGCGAGTGACCTGCCCTGGAACCCGGCGGGCCCTGCCTCTGCTGCAGACCGAGGGCCTTCTGCAGGAAGCACAGAACCCACTCACCCCAGACCACGCTCGGGAGCTGTCCCCTGCCTTTCGTCACCACCCGACGTGGGGCGCGCCCAGTCTGCCTGTGGTTCAGGTTCAGCCCCGTGGCTTCCCGTGCGTTGCTTGCCCGCGTGGGCTGCGCTGGGGACCGAGGAGCTGCAGGAGGGCCGCAGGGACACGCCTCACGCCCCGCCCTCATTGGTGGTTTCCAGATGCTCGCTGTCTGGACGTTAATCTGCGCTAAATCCTATTAAATGAAAAGAGGGGTTAAAACCCAAATGCTGTATATTAAGTTGTAATTATGTACAGAGTGAAGCAGTTTTAAACTGTAAAGGTTTTTTTTTTCAGTGTGTTTTCTGGGATTTTGCCACGACATATGGGCTTTGTATTTTATTTATCTTCTTCTCTAGTTACCGGCTTCAGGTTCTTGTAAAGTCCCCCTCCGCCCTTTCAGAAAAATAAATTTCCTTTCAAGTCTTGATTATGGCTGTGAATGATTCCTGTTCCTGGTCAAAGGGATACTCCCCTCCCCAGTTCTGAGCGGAGCCTCTCAGTGAGGAGGTTTATTTCTGTCGGGGAAGCAGAGGCCTTCTGCACACTAACTCTCTTCTGGAGCGAGCCCCAAACCCAGAGGGTGATCCATCAGCCCTGAAGTCACAGGGTTTGTATTTCCAGGTAGATCAATGCAGTGAGCACGTGCTTTGCTCTGGACTCCACTACCCCTGATGTTGGTTTCCCTTTCTTTGCCAACTCCCTCCACTCCATCCCACCACCAGTCAAGAGCAACTGCCAAAAGCTAATTCAAGAAGAATCCTATTTGCATGTAGCTCCCTGGTGATGTCCCCAGTCTGATCTCAGGATGCTGGGGCCCTGAGAAGTTTCTGAAATACACAGCTGGGGCTGCTACCGGCCCGACCTGCAGGCCCTGCCGCTTCCTTTCCCAAATTGCTGGCTGCTCTTGTGAGTCCGAGCTTTCTGGACCTGAGTCCAAGCAGACACTGGAGACTGTGCCACTCGGAGTAGCACAAAGAACGTGGCACAGCTGCCTGGAACCCCAGCTCTGCCGCTGTCTCGCTCCCTGCCCTGACCCAGCGACCAGAAAGAAGACAAGTAGTGCCAGGCTGCCAAGTGTCTTTCCTTTTTCCACTTGGAACTGCATGGATTTCTTCGCAGTCTTTTGTAAGCCTGGCGACAGCTGCCTCCCCACAAGCCAGGGAAACACTGGTCCCTTTTCACCCGTTGCTGCCCTTGGCCGTCCCCTACCCCACTGGGCAGCCCGCCCTGGCCGGGGTCCACAGCAGCCCTCATCCCACCGAGACACCCTCAGCAGGGCAAGCAGAGTGGTTCCCATGGCCTCCCTGGCTCTCCGCTGTGTTGGTTCTGAGCCAGGGACAGGCTCTGTCTGGGAGGCGAGAAGAGCAAGAAGGTTCCATTCTTCTCTTCAGGAGAGCAGAGGCACAAAGCAGGCAGGGCTCCAAGAACACCAGGCAGCCACTCAATGGGGTCAGAGGCTCCGCCTGCTCCCCAGGGAGGCTGCTGTGCCCAGAGCCTCTGCCACAGCGCAAACCTGACCACCAAGCTGCTTAAGTGGCATTTTCTGTCTGAAGATCCCCCAACCCAGGGGAAAGCCCGAGGCCTGGAGGGGCCATCCATAAGCTGGCCCGAGGGTCTGCAGCAAAGGCTCTGCGGGGAAAGAGTGGGAGTGACCAACGCAGCAGGACAGAAATCTAAACCGGGAGCAGGGAGGGGACATTAGGAAGCCAGAAAGACCAAGAGGCCAGGGAAGAGCTTGTGCGTGGGAGGACATGCAGCGCGCAGGTCTTGTGATTTCCTTGGAAGCAGCTGCAGAAGCAGAAGGAAGGCGAGCCGGGCTGCAGGCTCAGACCTGAGCTCCCAGCTCCCTCCGCCTGCAGCTGGAAGCGCCTGCGGGTGTCCCTGAGGCCTGGGAGGAGTGGCAGGCGGGGGGAAGGGCGGGTGGGAGCACATGGCCTGTGCCCCAGATGTGGAGAATGTGGCCCAGCGTGGTGCCCTCCGCCTCTGGCTCCTACCCTGCCCCACCGCCTCCCGTGTCCAAGTTGCAGCCGGGCTGGCGGCCTCCTTTCATGTGGCAATCGTGTGGCTGCTCCGCACAGCCTGGCCCCAGGACAGCGGGGCTGCCCCTCCCAGCAGGCGCCTCTGGGAAACTTTCCTTCTTCCTGGGAAACGGGACCCCGGGACCCCGAAGCATCAATGAGAGAACTAAGGGGAGGGGGACTTAAAATGACTCCTTGGAACGGACCAGCTGAGAGCCGGGGCTGCTTTTCCCTCCCTTCCTCCCTCCTCGCCCCTTCCCTTCCAGAGTCCCTGAACTTCCCACCCCACCCCCAGCCTGGGAGTGGGAGCCCGGCTGTTTCCTGGACAACCCCGGTTCTTCCCAAGCATCGCCCGGTCCCCGCAGCGCAAACCAAAGGGCCCCGGTCACGGTCACGGGAAACAGTGCAGCCCCACACGGCCCGCTGGGCAGGGAGGAGCTTGGGGAGGGCCGTGTGGGGCCTTCCGTCCAGGGGGGCTGTGGATGGAGGCCGAGTGGCCACACGGAGGGCGCCAGGATGGGCCCGGACTCCAGTGCTGCCATGTAACAGCTGAGTGACCCCGGACAAGCTATTAAACCTCCGTCTCCATTTCCTCTTTCCCGCGGGCCTGGTGCGTGCACGGGCACCTGCAGATCAGTCGCGTTAGAGATGATGAGTCGGGGTGCTCTCCAGCTGCCTGGGCAGCACCCCGCAGAGGACTGGCTCGGGTGCCTCCTGTCTCTGGCGTTTGTGCAGGCTGCACCCTGGGTCAGAGTGCCCATGCCCGCTTCCCTTCCCTTAGCTCAGCTTCATGGCCACTTCCTCCAGGAAGCCTTCCCTGACAGCCAAGTCAAACCGGGCTCCACCTTCCTGCCTGCCACTTAGCACCTGGGCAGGTCTGCAGCTTACCCCAAATAAAATGATGACTAGATCCTCCTGTCCCGCTGGCTTCAGGCTGGTGCAACAGTGGCCCCTGCCCTCTGCTCCCCGGGAGTGAGCAGAAGGCCCCTTTGTTCAAGTCTGGGACGCTGGGTAAAGGGCAGCCAGGACTGTCCCAGGAACCTGGAAATGGCAGGAGGGTCACCCTCTGCCAGCAGGGTCGAGTCTGGAGGGTGGACGAAAGTTCCAAGTGTCCCAGGGAAGGGTCACCCAGAGGCCTGCCACCAGACCTGTCCCTAAAGGCTGAGCCCCACCTCCCACCAGACATGGGTCTGGCCCCTGGGGACCCTTCCCAGGAGCAGGAAGCCCCGGGGCTCTCACTCTCTCCCATGGGGGGGGGCGGAGCTGCAGGTGGGGGGGTGGGGGGGGAGGGAGGGAGACAGCCCAAGTTCACACCCACGTGCCCCACTCCAGTGTGTCCTAAGTCAGCACACTTCACCCGCCAGAGCTACGGCTCATTTGTAAAACAAGGATAATAGCATCTACCCCATGCAGTTATTGTAAGAAAAAAACGTACATACAACTCCTTCTGCTTGGCAAGAAGAGAATGAAAACATAACGTTCTGGTCTTGATTAATGTTTGCGCGTTTCCCCAGCACGGTCTGCCCGGTGTGAGCACTCACTGTGCTTGGGGCATCCCGTGTGGTTTCAGATTCATCTGGGTGGAAGAAAGTTTGCCCGTGTTCTTCTTGGAATGAGTTCTCTTGGGGCTCAGGGCTCAGGCGAGGGAGAGGCACCACTGGCTCGGAAGCCCACAGGAGCCTCCTGTCCCTGATCTGTGACCTCGTGGGACCTAAACGCGCTGAGGAGGTCGAGTCTCCCTGCTCGTGGACGACGGTCACACTAGAGCTCGTGGCGAGACTGGCCCTGGCTCTCAATGGCAGACCTGGGATTTTTCCTGTAGACCCGGGTTTTTCCAAAGGGTAGTTGTTGGATCTCCTGCTTTAGAACTACCTGGGCCGCTTACTAAATTGCGCATCTCTGGGCCCAACCCCACACTTGATGAGTCAGCAGGTGGGATTTGCATTTTTAGCTAACACCCTGGGGGTTATGCGCACTAAAACCTGAGAGCCACCGGGCTGTGCACAGCTGACTCTTGAACAATGTGAGTTTGAACCACGAGGGTCCACATGTCAACATGCGAGTTTTTCCAACCAAACGCAGATGGAATATACAGTATCCTCAGGATACAAAACCCGCCTATACGGAGGGCCGACCTCATATCCATGCATTCCGCAGGCAGGGTTGTCTGCGGGTGTGCACAGGGGGTCTGGCATGTGCAGGGGCCTGGAACCAACGCAGACCCCGAGGGGTAACTGAGGGAGGAGGCGGCGGCAGCAGAAGGGAGGGCGAAGCAAGATCCTGCCAGGAGCTCCGCATTCCACCTCCTTGGAGCAGCCCGTCCTTTCCAGTCTGCAAAACGAGCTTCCTTCAGTGGAATCTGCTCTTGTCCCACAGACAGTTCTCCAGGGACATCCCGGCTGTGCACAAACAGTGGTGAGCGTCAGCATAGAGGGCCACCGCGGTGACAAAGTGACCGGACAGAGCACGGAATAAACGCGCCACGGATACCTCCTCCCATGGCTGTCTGCATACACCTTGTCACTAAAGGGCTGGGTGGGCTTGAGCACGTCACACCTGGGGGAGATTTAGGCCTCGAGAAGCCCAGGCCACACCTGGGGTGGGGGATGACTGTTTCTTTGGCTGTGCAGAACGCTTTTAGTTCATCCATGTCCCATTTATTTATTTTTGTTGCTGCTGTGATTGCCTTTGGGACTTCCTTCATAAACTCTTTGCCTAGGGCCGATGTCTAGGAGAGTGTTTCCAACATTTTCCTCTAGAATTCTAATGGTTTTCATACCTTAGTTTTAAGTCTGTTACCAGCGGGAGTTGATTTTTGTGAGAGGTGAAAGATATGGTCCTGTTTTACGCTCTACAAGTGCTATCGTTTCCCAGCACATTTATTGAAAGGGATTCTTTCCCACTGTATGTTTTTGTCTGTCGTTGTCAAATATTAGATGGCTATATGAGGATGGTTTTTATATCAGAGATTCTCACATCTGTTCCCTGGCGATAATCCTATTTGTGCCAATACCAGATTGTTTAATTACAACAGCTTGTAGTATATGTTTGATATCGGCATATTAATACCTCCATTTTGTTTTTGTTGCCTAGAATTGGCTCTTGATATTCGGGTCTCCTTTGGTCCATACAAAGCGAAAATTATTTTTTTATTTGTGAAGAATGCTGATGGATTTGATAGTATTGCGTTGATTGTAGATCAGTTTGGTAGTATAAGACATTTTAATGATGTTGAGTCTGCCGATCCACACAATCATAAGAAAAATCAAATAACCTATTAAAAAGTGGCAAAGAACTTGAACAGAAAGTTTCTAAAGAAACAGAAGATGGCCAACAAACATATGAAAAATGCCATCATCTCCTAATCATCAGGGAAATGCAAATCAAACTACAATGGATATCACTTAAC